GGCGCAACTGTTTGACAGGCCAACCCAGCCACAAACTTCGACTAGATGACTGCATGATCGTTTCTTCCTAGCGGTGGAAGGAAAGGCACTTGGCCGACGTCATCACCATGTGCGAAGACTAAATCCAAAAAGAAGAGGAGTTAACAAATCATATCTGGTGGGATCTCTAATGTGTTAGAATAAAGCTAATGCAATTGAGGTTTCTAACAGTTTGAAATCGAATGACGTTGTCGATGACACTACTTCTAAGATTATCTAGTTTTTATAAGGTGCACTAAAGTCGCCTACTATAAGGCTTTTATACATACTCCACCAAAACTTAACTTTGCTTATGAGGAAGCCATCTTCTACACATTCTGGACTGTGATAAACAACGACTAATTCAACATCTTGCCGTCTACATTTCAGCCTGCAGCAAACCAGTTTACATGTCCATGAATCATATATCACTGTCTCAACTGCTCGTATAGTTAGGGTACTTTTCGTGTACAGGATAACTCCACCTCCCCTACGGTTTAATCTATCAGCTCTACTGGATGAAAGACCAGCCAACTGAATTTCATTATCGAACACTTCTGACAGTAACCATGTTTCTGAGGCAGCAATAACATCTAGTTTTTCTATATCCACCGTTATCTTGAGCCCAACCATTTTGCTTAGTAGGCTGCAAGCATTTGTGTAGCACACCTGAATTTCTGTAGAGAACTTTGCATTACCACTCAAACTGTTCTGGGGATCGTTTTGCTTCGAATGTTTACAATTTGAAAACTCTTAAGTACAAGGTTTCTTTCGCCGATTCGTCGGCGCTCATTTATTTCTACTTTTGCAGTTCGTCCCTTTATACGGTCAAGCAGACTGAGATTCTCACGGACGTATATTCTGGATCCAATCAGTTTGCGTGAGTTCCCCAAGATCAGGTTTCTTTCTTCAACCACAGCAATGGTGACATTCAGGAGGAGGTTTTCTGAATAATTTCAGAATCCACCATTTGTCCGATTCTATAGAACTTACAGATGCTAATTTCTAAGACTGTTCCTGGGAGTAGCTTGCTTATTAAGGACTTATTGTGACTGAGGTCGTACTCAAATCTAGCCCTTGGTTCCTTTTCGGAAGATTCTCTTAACCCATGGCTTATGGAATTTTAATTCCTGAAATCATCTCTTCTCTGCAATCCGGTTCCAATTTAGCGCCAAACACAGAGGTCGCATTCTGTTTTCTTACTTATCTCTTCTTAAATGTGACTGTGAGCCATTCATTTGCCTTATTTTGTCTCTGAATCACATCCTCTACACCGCTCAGACTTCGATTCCCCATAATTTGTTTTGCGTTGATATGTGAATCCGGAACTGAAATAATAGATTCACATACCTTGGTACTGTCTACAAGTAGTTTCTTCTTCTTCAAGCGCTTTCTCTTTTTCCTTGTGACAATCCCTACATCCGTATGATTGCTACCTGCTCCCCTGATGGGGTCCACACTTATGGTCTCATTTAAGTCCAGAACTGGGCTCATGATAACGTTCTGTGAAGGCAGAGTTCTGCTCATCTACTACTGTCTATTTATCTGAAGGCAATTTTCTAGTTATGCTCAGCAGCTCAATCGCCTCTAGAATCAGCATAGACGTTGTAGAACAACATACTTCGCTCAGCCAACGTGATAATGGCTTGCGGCAACTTTATATGCTGCTGGTGCGAGTCCGCTGCATACATTGTGATACCACTTATTGCAGTTGTCACATGGCGTCCCATCATCGACAGGGAAAAGGCATGCACGTCTGCCATAACGATATTTTACTTGCGCCATAAATTCGTTTTGTGATCTCACAGCGAAAACTGATAACGTTTCTTTAAAGCTTGATAAGTGATAGACAGTGAACACAAACAAAACAGAGATTTGTATATAACTATCTAACAACTTTTAAAAACCGACTTTAGTAGTTACAAAATACCTTAACACCTATGGATATAGGTAATACTCAAAGATATACTCAACGATGATGAAAACAAGACAAAGTGAGGGACAAAAGAATACTGTGAAAAAAATCTTCCAGAACTTTTAACTATTTGAAATAAGCACGTTTTAACCAGCAATCGAGTTTTTGGGTGAAACCACGACTTATGAACGACTTTTGAGCAGCGCTAAAATGACCTTAAAATGTTCATTTACTGGGGTTAAATGAGGGTTACAGATTATCAGGAGGAATTGACATTAGGATTTACGGTTGAACGTTAGGGTTGTGAATTAGATTTAATGTTTTCATCACTAAATGACATCAACTATAATGCCAAAATGTGTTTGGTCAAATGACTGAACGAATTTCGAACCAAAATCCAAGATGTGCAATCCTAAATCTGATCGATCCACCTATAAATTATGGTCTTGCCATTTTATGTTTTTCATTTAGTCTTAATTTGGATTCGTCAGCTGTACACACTTCCATCCTAACGTCGTTATCCACATCTAGTCCTTGAACTCGGAACTTTTGGTTTCAAACACCGATCCTGTTGTCCATTGTAGAAAACGTAAGAGGATGTTTATATGCCAAAAAGACTGCTGAGATTTTAGTCTCAGATACCAAAATCTCGGAAATTCAACTTTGCAGTAGTTATGTGAAAATCTATTTTTCATTAATTTGGAACTTGGATGGATGAAAAAAGTCGGAGTAAGCTAGTCAGCGGAATCTTGGTAAAGCATATTCTGGCGGACACTATTGTGATTATACATACTCTTTAAGAATGGAAGTTTATGATTATTAGGAGTATTTGAATTATAGTATGAACTAAGAATCCCCTGAAATACGTAATCGAATCGAAAAGTACTAGATAAGCACATACGAATGTACTGTATTTGGAATTCAAAATCAAGCATTCAACAAGTAAAAAGGAATCGTTAGTTCATTCAAACACCACAAGGTTTTGTGAAAATGCTTAAGACAGAGTTCTTTTAGAACTGCTGCTAAACTATGATGGATAATACTGTTTTGTCGGAAGTGGATTCAACATATCTGTTACCACTTAAGTCATTATTTGTGTAACGAAGTTGCTTGTAGGTCATCTGTCTATTGTGCCATATACGGTTATATTACTTACTGGATTTGCAGTGACAGGAGTTATCACCAGACCAAGAAAATTATCGAGATAGCCTTCTACTTGTGAGATCGTCTAGCATTTCTCGGCAAAGAAATTCAACCAGTAAAACTACAGGGTCTATATCTGAACTTGTCGCTTCGCTTTATTTTCTGAGTATTTCTCACGGGGAAATCCAAGCTGTTACTGGCCACCCTTACTGGCAAAGGGTTGTAAGAATCGAAGTACATCTAGCTCGATGAACCTGGTAAGGTAATATTAGGGTTTATAAGAAATATATGTTAAACTGGAGGCTCTTTTGATTGACTTACATGATTTCGACAACCTAAGGTTAAAAAAGAAGTGTTTCCTGCCATAATTATGGATGAGTCTTTGTCAGAAACAATTACAGATAATAAACTGAAACTGGAACTACGTACACCAACCATAAAAATTCCTTCAAATAAAGGGCTGTTCAATGAACACGCGTGATGTGAAGAAAAACTATGGAGAATGTTAGGGAAATTCATTTTCTCCCTTAAGTTGCTAAATGTGGTAAGTACATGTACATAATTAGAATTAGCTCACGTAGCAATGAAGCGACGCAATATATCCAAAAGTGATTGATAACAATATACGTTACTGAACATTAGTAAGTAGTATAATGAAAAAAGGGATCTGTCTAATCCTTGTATAGGGATGTTTGACAGTGCCCACTCATGTTTTTCGGCTTACGTCTAAGCTTTAGATCACTAGCTTGATATTCAATGTTTCGGGTCTGTAAATTTATTTACCGTACGAAATTGAGCGGGTATTATCCATTGCCTTTGTCAATCATAATTTAGATACATTTGCAAATTGATAAATTTGAGAACGGTTTTTATTATCGCTTGCCCAGTAGATCATATATTTGTCATCGACTCATCATAGATGAATTTTAAATCTGTTGGTTGAGACATTATTGATTGTAAGCACGCGAACACTATCTAGTCAACAAATTGTAAAAATAGAGATTGGAGAAAAATTCACTTGAGCCTTTTGCTAATCATATCGTTAGACTGAATATTGATAATCAAGCATAAGTAATTGACTGATTTTTAAATAAACTACAAGATTTCGATCATTGTTTTAGTGAAGTTTGATTGCTTCTTAAACCTAGCATGAAGAATCACATTGAATGACATAATTATTTCTTTTTATGTTTCGATGCTGATGCTTCAGCAAATGAGTTAATTACCTAATTCGAATAGATTTAAAGTATAATTATTAAATAATTTTAATTAGTCAGTAGACCCACTAAAATGTGCGGACATTAAAACAAGCCTCTCGAACGCTTACTCTGGATATGCTACTACCTGTTAAAAGAACAAGTCTTACTCATTTTTCATTCATTTATTTTATTTATTGTGGCTTCTTGTTTTCAGAGGGTTTCAACAATGAAGGTAAATCAATTATCTGACATATTTATGATTAATATTACCGTTAATCATAAGAAAAAGAATTAATTTTATTAAACAATCGCAAACACGAAAGCAAGTACTCTGTCAAATGGAAGAAAGAAATCGTCTGTATAAATGAAAAAGTTTCCTATATATACTGAAATATATGTGCGGAAGATAACGAAATGTATATTTATGTACAGTTATTGAATACACTTGATATCCTCTTACTATTGTTTTACTACTGTCTCTAAATTTCTTCTCTATTTTCTTCTCGAAGTCAGCCTTCTTGACAAAGTATGAAAAAAACCTTTACTAAGTAATTGATGTATGGTCTCATTGAAGGTTGATATGTTATAATACATTGTTTGCATGGTGCAATAAGTCGGTTTATCCGTCTTCTAACTAATATTACAATAGCACTAATAATGTTAAGAATCTTCAAAATTGTATCTACTTCTGTGCATTCTAGATTTATACATAATATATAATTACATTATATTTGATCCAAATAATTATCTAATGATCGGTTTGACTCATAAGTTTCCTCTTGTTGCTGTTGTTTCAATAGGTGCATATTTTTGGTGTGATTTAAACTTTCTCGATTATCATTGTTGGATGATGACGATGATATATTCCAAAGCATTTTATCATCCGTGTATTGTATCGGAAAGTATGATAGTGGTTTATGATTTCTTTCTGACGACCGAATAAAGATATTTGGTTGTTGTTGAAGCTGTTCTGAATGATACGAGTGTCGTTGCCTATAAGGTGATAATATACTGTATGCACTTAGTTTATTGCTTTTGTCATTATTTAAAGTTGTCAGTGGATTGACATGATGTTCATTTACTACATGAGAATTTTTTTCATTTAAATCTAAAGAATTTAATAATAAACTATTCTGTATGCTCATCAATGGTCCGTTATAATGAGGATGATGACTATATCGTTCATTTTCTTGATAAGTAGGATAATCACATTGTCGATGATTTGACGATATTGATGATGGTGAAAAGGATGGGAATGATGGATGAAGTTCTTGTCGATGAATTTGTTGATAGTTCACAGATGAAGGTAAACATAAATTATCATCATTCAAGTATGTACCTGAATGAATGTTTAGTTGATTGGATTGTAGTGAGAAATGCTTTTGCAACTGATAAGTTAATTCAGCTTGATAATTTTGGCAATTCAACACTGGCTTCTGATGATCAGCATAATTGTCTGACTCTGAATTTAAAAAATTTGTAGGGTAGGCCGGTGTTCTTTCAACCACACTTTTGTTGTTATTTGTCATTTCATATTGACTGAATGATTTATCATAGTTATCAGACGTAGGAGAACATGCTACATGAAAGTAAATTAATACATTTGTAATATACTATATACTATATGAGATAACGAAATACATGACAACACAAAACTTAAAAAATCTTGGATACATCAGAATATAAGTATAGTTGTATCTATAAAATATGCGATAGATTTTCAAACTGTAACGCGAAAACAAATATGTTGTGCTACAATAGAGAGATCTCAAATGTTGGTGAATATAAAAGCAACTTGTAGATGATAAATAATTATGAACTTGTATCGTTAAAAATGACCAGTCATCTAAATCTTTAATCATTATTAGTGAAGATAGCACTGCATTCTCATCGCTCGTAAGGAACACGAAATTTCAATTTGAATCTTCCTTGACTACTTAGTTAGAACTTTTAATATGAAGAAAATTACGATATTTTTCAACTCGGCTATATGAATGATAATTGATTCAATAATAAATAACATGGACAAAAGTCATAAATTCATAATACTGTATAGAAGTAATATTTACAAATCCTTCATGTGTGGAACTGTTCAAATCTTTTCTGTGGAATAGTTTTCTTTGTTACTTAAATAATTATTAGAATTACTTTGTTTATAACGTCGTTAAGCCGTTCGTTATGATATGAACCCGGTTATTAATATAATCCATTATATCATTGAATGATATAGACTCAAATATCAAATAAAATTTGAATAGGATAACAAAATCTATCAAATAGGGAGCTTTAATCTACAAAAACAAGATTATTAACCAGTCCCATAAAGTAGATTCGACAGCCAAACTTTGATGTATTTAAATAAATGCTGTGGATTTTTGTCAGGTTTATCTTCTTGTTTTTAAGTGTCCAAATCATCATGGTGATGAAACCGATTTCTTTATTTGAGGAAACTTATGCATCATGCATATTTAAGGAATTTATTAACTAATTGGATTATACTATTATTTGCACGTGACGTGTTTATTATGTTAGGCAACTTGAGATTTTTATCTACTGTCTCTTGTATTCGATTATTTGAGGCAGACTATAAAAAATCTTAAGTGTCAGTTTGAGCGGAAGTCTTCAGTGAGGCGTCCTATAAAGTCAGTAGTATCTTACATTCACTTCATATGAGGCAAACTAATTTTGTTATTCAGATGGCGGCGAAGATTTGTAACTCAAGTGAATGATTTTGATGGAATTTCGTTTACGGAGCTGGATGTTTTGTCGTGGAGTTCTATTGTTCTTCTGAATAATATCATCGACACAAACTTCAGATTGTTCAGAAGAGCAGTGGAAGCTGCATGATAAAACTATGCAGCTCAGAGAACGAAGCTCCACCAAAATAATTTGTTCCTAATATTATTATCTCTTTGAATAAAGTTTATTTAATCATTGTGTGAATAATTCACTTTATCCATCAATACATGAAAACACTAAGTTAAAATAATGTGTCATTTGAAAGGAAAACAAATTATGGAAAACTACAAATTTGACCATCAAAATAATTTAAACCAATTGATCCATTTACAAATATCATGTTTGATTTACAGAATAAAACTGTTTTTGTCAGTCGTCATACAATTTTAATGGTTTACCTGGATCTTCAAAATTTTTATTTCGCAACATCGGCAATTGTTCTGGAAGAAATCGTGAAAATGATCCAGGCATTGGTAATAAGTGTGAATTAGTTGAGTTTGAATGGAATAGACCTGAATTAAAAACCGACATTTTATTTGACTGACATAATTCAGTTGTTGAACAAGGTCTCCAATAAAAAGGGTTTGTTAATGTGGGCACTACAGGTGTTGAAGAGATTGATGATGCAGTTACAGATACTGCTGATGCTGCAGCAGCTGCCGCAGCTGCTGCAACAGCAACTGTCAAGCTATAATCTTTTCTTTTCTTTGACTTTCTTTTCCTTGTCTGGATCGCATCTTTTCGCATTGATGTTGGACGCGTTCTCTAAAAAATAGTGAAGTAGATAACTGCTTTCATTTCTAGCAACAATCACAATAATGATATTTAACCAGATGATTGAAACTAAGTATAAATCCAAATTTCACATGATATCACTTTGTTATAAACTAACATTGGATTTATAATATTCTTGAAATCGAAGTATCCAGTAGAATGAAAAAGGTAAGTATTAGCTCAGAAAATTTATCGGAACAAGCATTTGATTATAACCCGAATATACTTGAATATCTATCACATGGTTGAAGTTAGACATTAACACCGTCGGATGCCGGCTCAGTGGTCTAATTGTTAAGTGCTCGCACGCGAAACTAGTAGGTCCTGGGTTTGAGCCCCGCGAGGTGCGGGATCGTGGATGCGCACTGCTGAGGAGTCCCATACTAGGACGAAACGGCCGTCCAGTGCTTCCAGGTTTTCAATGGTGGTCTAGCTTCAACTGACTCATGATTTCAATCTGTGAAAATTTCTAAAAATCTCCACAAACCCCTTCTGACATATTTTTATGACAAATATATTTTTGTGATATCCCAATGAGTAAATAGTACTATTTAAACTTGTGTTAATTTAATATCGGTTATTTATTTACTCTGAAGAAGTGGCTTGCAATAAGTCACGAAACATCAGAAATACAATTTCATACTCAAATGGATGTCATAAAAAATACATTTATCATTAACTTTCTACCCAGTTTTCAATTTATTTGAAACTATCAAGTTCAACTTTAGCATTGATACCTAAAAAAATTATATTTCGTATGGTTATCAGTAATGGGATACTGAGTGCATATTTTGTCCTATATAAGAATACTAGCAACTAGTTTTACTGTTGGGCGCTAACATCAAAGCTGAACAATAACAACATAGCAACAATGCGAGGCTTTCACAAACATACAAGGAAGTGAACAAAGAATACATACACAAAAATGTTTACTGAAAATTTTATCAAAACCTTTCATTTATTTATTTCGAGGTCTATCCGTTTACAAAATTAAGAAGGTAAAAGGTCATGATAAATTAAATCAAACCACTATTCATTTGTTTTTATTCCTTTTGTATGTCACTTCATTATTACGTAATTCGGTTTACACATATTAACAACAAAGCTAATGAAACTGACAGTTTTTAGATTTTTCTAATTCATCACTTTATTAGTTGTCAAAGTGATACGTAACAAGTGACTGTTAGTTTCCCTACTGGGCACATTTTTTATCAAAATATAAATGAGATAATTTGTCTGTGTATGTGTATATCAAAAACACTAGGTAGTTGTAATTAATTGACCACTGAGACATTGTGATCTATAGTAAGTTTACTTAGTAAGCGATATTTAAAAGTTTGAAGCTTTGAAATTGGAAGATAATTTTCATAGTGGTATCAACCAGATGACCATTGAGAAACATGAAGCTGAACAACCCTTTTTTTACAGTTCGAGTTTTTAAAAAGTCCAAACATATTAACTGTTATGATCTACAAGTCCGATTCAGTGCGAATCGCAAGACATCTTAATTTTCAACTCACCCTGCTAAGCAAGAGTAAGACTCAGAACGTGTATGGAATTGTCTCGCTAAAACAGGATAGCAATGTATACAACTCGTGGGATTATTATTGTGTATCTTCACTGACCTGGACAGGGATATATGGACTATTACCTTGACCGAATGATGCAATCAAAAAAGTAAATTCTACACTTGTATCTTTCAATTAAGTTATGACCTCGATATAGCGTACCATCTGTCTAGAATTCACAGACTTATAACGCTCTACCTTTGACTGAATCTAGGACCTACGAATTTCCCGAACAACGCAATATATTTGCATCTTCGAGTCACAATGAATGATTCACGTTTTCGACTTTAGTCAGTTTTGAGTATAAAGCGATTCTTATTCACTATCATCAATAAATTATCGTCTCAATTCATACTTGGTTCACTTCACGAGTGACAGCTTACAACCATAACTAGTTTCGGAACTGAAGTGCGAATAGGTCATTCGAGAAGATTAATACAACTATTTAGTTTTTGTCCATGGTGAACTATATCGCGCCAATTTGAGGTTACCCAGCAATATACTTCCTAAACCTTAAAACGCTCAGACCTCGTAGGCCAAGGTCAAAATTTATTTTGTAGCTGACTCCCTATATCTTAAAAGATAACAGATAGGAGGGTATTAAATATAATCCGAATTTAGTTCATCCTCTTGTTCTAACTGAATTCCTCATCGAAAAACAAAAGTTAGCATAAGATTCGAATAAATACCCATTAACTAAGCAATATGAATTTGTAAAATATCCTATCGGGATAAATTCACCTTCGTTATGTTTATAGTAGATCAGTTCCAATTTATAAAAGAAATTTTAAAAATTAAACTTAGATAATCTCTCTCATAGGACACTTACACCATGCAATTTCTGATATAGCCCACAAGCGTTGCATACAGGTTCTCCATCAAGATTACGCCTCCATAATGTGGTCTTGGTAGTTTCACAATTCGAACAAATCAATCCAATTCTTCTGTTAGTTTGCTGTAAGTGTAATGAGTTAAAGTACTTAATAAAAGCGTATTATTAGAATATAATGCTATGACAAAAATATTATGCATATTTATTATTTTCCTACAAAGATAATTGATTGAATGATGTTTATTATCTGTTCCAAACTGTATTATTTGGATGTCATTATAGTTTATCAATAAATGTTACTCTTACTGCTTAAAAATGTCATTTCAGAGCAGTAATGGAATATTTAGAATGTGTTGAATATATCCAACTTACATTACTATCAACGTACCGAAATCTCCTATATTTAAATTTCCTTGCCATCACGGATATTATTTCAAACCTTTTAGGATTTTGTCTGTTAATTTCATCTCTTTGTGATTATGGGGTCTGGTAACCTAAGCTAACACATAATTTTGCCATATTATATTTTGATAAAGATCAAACAATAAAATCTTAAGAGTAGTATCTTATTCATGTGTTTTATTGTTATAATGAACCCATTAAATTATTTCAATATATATAAAATCTTTATAGAATGTTAATCATTCACATTTCAGATTTGCTCCAGATGTCTTTAAAGCGGTAATTGAGGTTTTTGGATGAGATTCTTCCATGATCAGTTATATTCATTATATTTTAAACATATAACAGTTAATGGTTTATTATAATTAGACTAGTCCTAGTTCGTAAAATCCTCTTTATAAATATTTTGAATCTAACTAATTTTCAGGAATATAAATATTCTCATTAAGTATAAAACTGTCAAGTAGGCAATATGAACCCAACTCTCCTCCTTTACCCGGGCTTGGGATCGTTAGTAACCCTAGAAGAGCTACAGTCAGGCGATCCTTTCCAGTTGATTATATCAACTGGATACAACTTGAAAGAACTACTCAATATAGAATTTGATGGAGAATACTAGTTGGCGGTCTATGCTACTTACTCTATAAGGGATAACAGGAGTAAGTAAGTAGGTTTAATTATGAAACGTAGCATACCACAATTTACAGATCATTTTTAAATATTTACAAGAGGAAAGTAGATCCTTTAAAAGTTTATTTATTATCAGCACCTTCTTACACTTACCTGTGAAAACAATTCATTACAAACTAAAAATTTACACTTGATGAAATAAATTTAACTATCAATAACGATTCCTAGTCACTGTTAATTGTTCAATAAGAGGGTACAATGAAAACTATCCTTCACATACACAATCATCGTTTAATATATCACAATCCGCCTACGTTTTCTAATAAATCGTGATTATTTTGTACTAAGTTAAAAGACAATTATGGAGAGAGGGAAAGTGTGTGTGTGTGTGTGAGAGAGAGAGAGTTATAAAAATGAAAATCCTTTTAAACTCCCAATTAATGAAAAGTGTCTAAAGGACATTTATAAAAAATAAAAAACAAGATAAACATACATACATATAAATGCAGTTAAAATATAAACAAACAAAAGAGCAACACATTGATTAGAACTATATACTACACATAAAAATGTCTCAGAGATCTGAAATTTCATTTATAAACTATAAAAATGGGAAATCTCCTTAAAAATCCGTATTCATAAGGATTTAAGGAACAAGTAAATATAAACCAACTAAACTTAATTTGGAAAACAATGTTGTTTCTTTTTTTTTTGTTTTGTTCAGTTTTACAGACAGCAGTAGGCGACAGTGAGTCAAGTAAGGGAGAGAAAAAAAGAAGAAAGCAACTGTAATAATAATAATAATAACAATAATTTTCATAGTTAACCATAAACTAAGAAACTCCAAAGATACAAACTATTGTATGGACATTTAGTAATTTTGTATATATTTAAGCTTTCAATTAATTTGTGTACTAGAGTAAAGTGACGAAAGTATATATATATATATTACCTACTTTCCAGCTAGATTTAACTATATATACAAATGTAGAAAGGAAATAACTTAGTGTTGAATGTAGAGTAATATGACTATCTTGTTTAGTCGTTAATATATATGGGAAGAATTTAAAATATACAAATATGGAAATGCACAAAAATTTGAAAATACCATTAACTGGACTTTCTGTTGTAGTTTTTTTTATTAAAGATTCCTACAACGCTACAGTAAAACAGAGAGAAAAATGACGATAACATAGTTTATAATATTCTTATGGTCTATGTAATAATAATAATAATAATAATACTATACACACTCGCATTCATACATGTCTACTGAGGTATAATAGTCTATAGTCAGATATACATGTAAATATATAAGCATATATAGCAAATTATTAAATGAGTTTGTATTTTTCTATTTAAAACTAAGAAGCACCATTTTCCCACACAGCTATTCATTTACACTCATAAACACACTAACAGATATGTGTACACACCCTCACACACCTCCCATGATGTCTTCATCAATTTGCTTTTTTTTTTCTTCTTCTTATATTCAATGAAAAAGAGACAAAGTGGACAAATGTACACTAAATTTGAACTAATTGTTTACTTTAGTGAAAAATTTAAAACTAAATAAATTTTTATTTTGGTAGAAGAGGGTGTGAAGAACATCATCAACACTATGATAAATAACAAAACAAAAATGTTGGGTTTTATTCGTTTTCTTGAATAAACAGAACATTAACTAACTTGATGATTATGTGCATTGTGTTTCAATATATATTTATATATTTATTTAAATAAACTATATATGTCTAATAACTTTTCGTTTATCTATGTCGAAATTTCTAAAGGAGAGATTACTACTCATTTAATTCTTGAAGACAATCATCATCATCATCATGATAGTAGCCAAAACAAACATTTGAAGTTCTTGATAGCTAGGGAGAACTTAGATCTTATTATGGAATATTTCTAGATTGTCTGTTGCTATGTAGCAATTGAAATGTTGAAAATACTTCACATGAATTCTGATCGAATGTGTTTTAAGGAAAACATTAAATTATGAAATAAATATTGGTTTTAAAATGTATTGAAATAAGATGAAAGAGTTTTATAACATTTCCTAGTCATTTAAAACTATTTCGCTTATTTGTAATCTATAATACAGTAGGATACATAGTTGATAAATATTCGAATATTCTTAGGAGACAATGTCAGTAATAATAGTATTAATATTAATAGTAATAATGGCAATGATAATTATAATTTAGTCCTCAAACTCATGCAAATGTAACTCTGGAGTTGAGCTAGAATTTATTTACTGTGATTCGTGGTATACCTTTAATGTGGCGGCTAGTAGTACTATTCACTTGTCCAAATCTAAGTAGGTAGAGTGACATAATTGTAGAAAATTGAATGCCTGAACCATAAATCTAATGCTTTACAAAATAGGGTTAACCAAAATCTGAGTTGAAATTTCAATCGGACTACTGAACCCGAAGTTGCTCTCATATTATTCTAACAAATGAAACATAACTAGTAACTATTAGACAGCCAAATGGAGGACAGTAATCCAGTTATGTTTCATAATGTGAGTCAGTTCTTCTGTTCTAGAGTTGAATTAAAATGATTTTAACAAAATAGATATCAATTCCATGGTATACGTCTTACATAATGTTAGAACGGTAACTGGGAGATTAGTGATTTCTAATTCAATATAGCCGTATAAATTATCATAATTCACTGTGTCGAAAAACGACCTGCTAATTAAAAGTTATCGATTCGTAAGTTCCCTGATTTTCTGTCCATTATAAGGTCTGTATAACATTATCTAATTATACATAATCATATTGAAGAAAATTGTTTACCTTACGATTAATCATTCTATATTTTTAAACCTAATATGCCAAAAGTTTTTACGTTTCCACCTTACTCTTAAGTTAATTTATTTACATTGTTAAAGATTCATACACTGAGATAGGGAAACATTCTGGTCTTTGAAATTTTTAATAATTATTTACGTAGTATCAAGATATCTAGGTGCTTCTTTTCAGTATGAGCTGATATCGTTTTGGATAGAAAACATTTGTTGATTTAGTATTACAGCTACCCTAAAGATAAGATTTTAGACGTAGTTGAGTTTGATATTGTCAATTATCCACAGTATATTCTTTGTAGTTAATATTAGAGTTCAATCAACATTTGTTTCATCAAGGTATGTTGAAGACTGAATTAATCAAAAGTTATCCAGTTTATTCATTTAATTTTGTGCTGAAATAATTTAATCAGTACAGTCAAAAATTAGCACTATTATAACAGATGTGAATTTATATGAATTGGGCTGTTTTCTGTCGACCAACTGAATTGATGAGATTAAAGTGGCAACTACTGAGAAATCCATTTTTATCAATCTAATTCACCACTGAATAATCATGAGAAGACAGAATGACCGGTTCTCAAAATGTGAGTCATTTTACGTCGCGGTACGGTATACACTAATATAGTGAATATTTACACAAAGTAAACTTGGTTAGAATTAGTTTGATATATCAATGATTATCAGATACGGGTTTATCAACTTTGGAACTAAGGCGTAATTATCAGGCAAAAGAAATGGAGTACATATATTAGATAAGTCAATTTACAAACTAAATCACTCATAGGTACTTTTAGGGTTTAATAACGGCTGGCAAATATTCAGTACATTATAGTCACAACTCTATAACAGTGAGTCTTAGTTGAAATATAAAAACCTAATGGAAACAAGTAAAATTAACTGATCTATTTCCATAATAATCATCGATTAACTAAGGTTAACTTCATTCGTTAAAGTGGATCATATCATTGATGATTATGATAAAAATGATGTACACAGTATATTATTTTGACAAGAAGAAAACGTTCTTGAAATCTTCATGCATAATCCTAATTTAAAACAGAAAACAGTCTAAATTAACAAATTCTTTATTGTCCGTAACTTAAAATCTCCAATCTGCCTAACACACGCAATCATAACTTAAGACTTTCCGGTTTCAAACGATTTCTAAAATTCCATCAAGTTAAACAATGCAGTGAAAGTATTTACCATGGAAATAAATTAACTTACTGACTTCCTGTTCGTAACAGTTTTTTCAATACCACTACGAAAGGCACGTCTACATGACAATGGTGAATAAGAAAAGGGCGTATTCGATAAAAATGCATGATCATTGATGACATTCTTTGAAGATTCACTAACTGGTTCATATGAATTTAATTTATTTCCATAAGTATCATTATTCACTCCACAATTAATTGAATTATTGATCTTTACATCACAGCAACTGGTTCTGTTTGATGTTGCATATGGTTTTATTTCATCTTCCATGGATAACTTAGATATCTGATTATTTTCTGTACAGTTTATAGCCGTCGAAACAGATGGCCAATTAGTTAGAAATATTTTAGCAGGATCTATAACTCTGTCCTCTTCTTCGTCATCATCTTCATCTTCATCATCATCGTCATCTTCATTATCATCATCACCATCTTCGTACTCTTCCGTATTTTTTGTTGTTTCTTGTCCTTCATATTTGAGTGGTTGTTGTTGTTCTTGCTGATTACATCGGCTACAAAAGTAATGACCTGTACCATCTGGTTGCCCATTTGAATAGATTTGTTCACCACATTTTACACATTCTTGATTGGTCTTAGGAAAAATTTGATTCATTGATAACTTTGAATCTATTAAATCAAATAGAAAGAAATAGATAATTTTAACTATATGAATTACTGTTGTGGGAAATGATATTTATCAATTAGTGATTTAACATGTTTTATGCAGCCATTTGAGGCTTGAATCTTGAATAAATAATTTGGTCTGAAGGATTGAAACTCAATATGATATGAAATAATGTTAGGTTATATGCGTGATTTCCACTAAAGAAAAGTTTCGGATTCTATTGATAGTAACAATTATTCAGTTTCAAATTATTCATTATGTTACGATTACTACCTTGTTCGCTGTCAGCCTCTGATTAAAAGACGGATACCTGTTTATATTGTCAATAAACTTAAATAAATAAATTTGAGTTATTCGGTTTGTGGAAGTTTTTATCAGTGACCAACGTTAGCTAGAAAACTGTTGAGAAATAACCAATGATAAACAGTTTTTCCTTTTAATTCAGCTTATTCTAAATGTGTATACCAATGAATCGGTTCACACAAAAGTGAATTCAAAACTTTTAGGTCTTATTTCAGACATAATCTTCTTGAGACACTAAATTAAATTTCAGTGGCACACATATCCCACAAATCTATCAAATAAAGTAATCTTTATTCTTTGTCCTCAATTTATTTTTCTACAATTCTGTACCAAAAACCATATGATGCTTCTTGTAGGTCAACCATAGATTTCTAACCATAAAACGATATGAATAATAATGAAGCATAAATTAAAAATCAGCCTAATTGCATTCTATCACCAACGGGACTTTGTTTATGTTGTGATTATGCCAAGGTTATAGTTGGGTTGTTAATTTCTATACACCTCAGTTACTTCGAGGGTAGTAGTATTAGTATTAGTTGTTGTTGATTACCATGTGGTTGATTTTCAACTACCCATTAAATTTACTTAATATAAAGTAATTAACAGTGTAATATTTCCTGTTTGTAAGTAAATCTTCATAGAAAGTCATTTGAAATTTTTCGTGAATATTAACGCTCAAATGGTCATTAATAATATTATCATAATATAATACGACCAAGTACTGGAACGTCACATTGTGAAGAGAACTAAGATCATTAGATAATTTTGGGTTATTTTTGTCAATATACACCCCCAAATCTAATGGAGGCGTCCAAAAATGATCATAGTTCTATTTGGTCTAGTAGGTGATGTTAAATAAGTTGACTGGAGAATATCGTACACATCTAACTGGATTGTCAATTTGCAAATATCCTATATTATTGGTATATTTATGGTGCGTTGTTATCGGATGAATAATTAAAATATAAAACATATTTATTTCTAAAGATTATCATTATAAATATAAACCTAAACCCTCCCGGTATGTACTCAATATACTACTTATATCTATATTCATTCACTGTTGAATAAATTCTACTCACTTATTAGTAAAGTTTAAATTATTATATACCTGTTTTGTGTTTCTTGTAAGACCTTATATTCTATTTCATTTATTATTACTCTTCCACCGATTCCTATCCATATCTCTTTTTATCTTCATGAGTGATTGTGATTCATAGACTGAACAATTACTCTCTATTGTGTTTACGATTTTAAGAATGATCAAATGGTTATATGATTTGATCATAGTCATTTGATCTTGATTGCAAGGAAAGCTGTTACTCTTTCTCTTGAGTAGTACTAGTAGTAGTTAAACATTTGTTTCCAAATAAACCTAAAAATAATGAATTTTATTATACATCTTATAATAGACACATAACTAGCTTATTTTCTTCTTTTATACGGTCAACAAAAGTGAACACATCATTTTCGATTTCTATGACGAACAGTTTATTATTATTACTATTAATTCTTTTTCATGTATGATAATTACGCACAAGAAAATAATGTTCTTGATCTAAATTTCAAAAGTCTAGATGAACTGGATCACATTTTCTCACATATGACCCTGAAACAATTTCACTTTCACATATACGTAAATAATAAAAATAAAAATTTAAAAAAAAAACAACGAAGGAACTTATGAGGCTAATGTTGACCGCATTAAAAATCGAACCAGTAAAAGAAAAAGAAAAGAAGAGAAAATTAGTTAAATGACGTTTACAAATTATGTAGTGTAAATATAAATAATGTACATATTCGTGGTAAAATATCTGTGAACTTTATATTATTTTCAAGAAATATGGTATGATTTCTATGGTCAACGTCTGAATTCCTAAAGTAAACTTCTTTGTATACTGGACATTTTTTAAAGTCATTTTAATTTAATGAAATTATTAGTTAGTATTTATTGTGAATATTGAATATGGAATATAGATTAATGTAATGAGAAACTCAATGTTAGTATAGAAATGGAAGATATTCAATGACAGAAGTCTACAAAGATTATCATCAAATAATTGCGTAGTTTTACACTTATTCTATTATTTCATCTATTCAATGTATTGCATGTACAGTGTATAAGCTCAGGATAATATGACAAATTATTAGGAATACCATTAATAAATATTCTGTGAAGTACTGATACTTTTTGTGTAGTCTATTAAATATATCCCTTTCTTTTACTTGCTCCTTTTTTCAGCCCCCTTGAGATATGGAACGGGTGACTTCATCTTGCACCATCCTTAAAGCCTCAGATATTCCAAAGCGATATAAGGTTGCAATTTCTAGAAGCTCCCATCTTCAGTGGATCTATGTTTGACCATCGGTTGCACATCGCAACGCCACTTTCATGAAGCGCGCCAACTGTTATACTGACTACAACCATTTACATTTTATATCTTATAAATTATCAACCCTGCTGAGTAATTTACTACAGTGGATATTGTATCATTTGTAACAATTTGATCTTGCCTGTAAACTGGCATGCCTCATGTAACAAACTGTTATTTGAGAATAAATTATTATAATTGATAAATACATGGAATGATTTTAGGCTAATTTCATAAAATAAGTTTTTAAAAAAAAGATAATAAACACAACGGATAGTGATTAATATAAAATACTTAAAGGTATCATAAGTGTTACTTCATGAAAATAATATTTAAGAGATAAGTGTATCTTAGAAAATATTTCGAATATTCTTCAAGGAACATAAACTGAAGACATGAACTAAATTCAATATGGAACTTCCAGAAATTGAAATCAAATGAATAGTAGATCTTAGATATACAAAACTATCCTTTTCATATTGGTCATTTATTTAAGACTACCATAGATAGACTCATTCATTTTGACTTACCAGACAAACCTTAAACAAACGCGTTTCAGTTATACATATATATATAATGACTCATTAAGAACTTTAACTGAAAGGCAATTTTAATTTTTCCTAACAAATAGCGAACTAACTATTGTGACCCTTTCTAATATTTATATAAGAGTAGAAATACTTATCTAATTCTTATCAGTCATCATTATGATAATCAATTTCTGTCAAAACTTTCGTTTTTAAGATAGTGATATGAAAAAAAAAACCCGTTTAAGACTGATGTTTAAATTGAGTAAAGGTAGAAGCCTGTTATTACGATTCATCCTGGTAGATCGATTTAACAACAGAAAAAAAGAACAATTAACTGATAAGTTGAATCAGTTGTTACGTCATCAAACAAACAAAAAAAACTTGAGTGAGTTGTTTACATTTAAATATAAGTTAATTGATAATCTGTTCCATTCTTATTGTGTTCACTTTTACACGTAATTCATTTGTGTATTTAGATATTACATAATAATTTATTCTGGGTATTTTATCTGAACAAGTGGAACCTACCATTTATCTGTCTTAATTGTATTCAGATATTTGATAGGTATAATTAACTCTGATTTATTTGACTTTACTCAATATATCTATCAGTAATTTTACACTTTATTTATGGAAAGTAAACTTTCTGAATGCCAATTCAGTCATGTACACACTAATATTCTTTAAGTTATGTAAACACTATGATAAATATTCGACCGGTAAGAGTAGAGGATATCCGTAGGTTACTAGTATTTGATCATAGGTGTCTTCGAACCATTGCTCGTATATCCTGGGACCATCGAGTAAGTAACGCAGTTGTTGGGAAACGGGCACTAGGTAAGAATGGCAAATCTATTGATGAAGTGGTGAGACGTCATCAGTTGAAATGGCTAGGACACGTGTTACGTATACCCAACGACCGACTGCCTCGACGTGCGATGTTCGATGGTATAGGAGTAGATTGGAAGAAAGCTAGGGGCGGCCAAACCAAAACATGGCACAAGTTCATGAAGTCACTGACAAGTGGACTGAGTCATGTTGGTAGGTGTAGACTACCTGGTTGGGGACCACGAGATGATAGCAACCGATGGTTAGAGACCCTGAATGACATGGCTCAAAGTCGTTTGCAACGGCGCAAGTGCATCCACTCTTTGTATTTTCCCAAATTCTAATCTTCTGAATTCTTCATGTCTCTTTTTTTCCTCTTCCCAAATTTATTTCACTGTATTATACTCCTTGAATAACATCTTCAAACCCTAATCTTTCCGATTACTGCTCATACTCTTACTACCCCTACCACTACGGGATTTGAATGGACAACTGCATCTCTGTGCTAATGTGGTATGGCAACTCGAGCTAATGTACGTGCGTACGAAGTTCTACGTTGTTACTGACTGAAATATTCGACCTCAGGATAAATACAAAAATCCTTTTTTCATTTCGAAAAACAAATGAGTTTTGAATAAACAATCAAATCAAGGAAATACAGTGTACTAAAATGAAGTGTTTTTTTAGGGAATATTAGTGATGAACAATTGTCATATATAGTAATATCGATATGTGATTTTTGAGTTATCTTCATTAGCATAACATGGAACATAAAGCATGTTAAGTATGTTACAAAGTAGAAGGGCTGAAAATCCTACAGAGGGAAGCTCCCAAAAGCAGTTCTCATGAATGACATCATTTTGAAAGCATGCCTATACAAATTAATTTACATTGGGAGTTCGACGGATATGAATTGACATTTAGCTAGCAACCATCTTTAATTACAGTGACAAGTACTTAATATTGTTAACTACAAAATTACTTTATTTCCTCATTTCTCATTACATATCTCTATCATACCTTTGATTCAAATCACCTGTCGTACGTGATAAACACCAGTTCTCTCCCCTCTTGTATGTCAGTCTGGTGTTTCTGTAGATACTTTTAACCAAAAGTGCAAGTTATCTATGGTTAATTATTTGACAAACATGCCACTATCATTAACAGTGACTATCCTTAATGATAGTTCAATGTATCATATTAAAAAATCGAAAAACATACAATCCAACAAATGAATTATAATCTGAAACATTGAAGTGATGAGTAGCTGAAAAGTTTACCTTTTGCATTTATTCCTTCATACTCCACCATAGCTTTTCTATATCCATGTTGGTGTAAAGATGAATTCATATTGACTGTTCTGCTTAAAGTCATATTTTCAGTCAAATACATCTTATTCATTTCATTTTCTTCCAAAGAATAATTGGATTCAGCAGAATTATGTAAAGAATTATCAATATCTTCATTAGCATTATCATTATCATCATATTCTTTACCAACACCGAGTAATGGTGAGTGAAATGTTGCTGCAAAAACTTCAGAGTTCGATGAAGATGAACGTTTTGTACTGTTCCATTTTGTTCATGATTACAATTGGACAGATGACTTCTAGAATCGACTGCTGAGAAATTTTTTATATTACTTAATTCTATTTCCGGTCTGACGTAATGATCTGATTTTCTAGTGGAATTATTTCCATACTTATTATATAGTGAATATGGTGGACAGGGAGACTGATAGGTGTCAATGAAACAATTTGATACGGAATTGTAACGAACTGGCTCGTTTTCGGTGTTTAGCAACTCATTAGAATGAAGGTGATATCTTTGATTTTCATAGTTACCAACAGGATAACCATTAGAATTCATGGTTTTACTGTCATTGAAATGAGCTAAAGTCCTTAAATCCGATTTAAAATGTGGTATTGCCATTTTGCTTTGAATATTGTAAGAATTTTCATTCTCACAAATAGTCCTTTCATTGTTTTGTTGAATATATTGGTCTGAATAATTTTGTAATTGGAGTAAAGAATTTGATGTCATCTTATTAAATACAGAATGGGATACAGGAGGCGATGTTGACAAAGATGAAGATGGTGTTGCAGATGATGAAGTGGAAGGAGAACAACAATCAGATTTATTGAGTGGTCTTTTATAGTCAGTTAAATATCCCGAAGACGTTTTACTTGAAGTAGATAATTCATGTGATGGAAGAGCGAGCATAATTTTTGGGTTGAACTAATGTTTGGATTAATGTTTAAAACTATTACTTCACTTGAATAAGATCAAACCTTAAAGAAAAAATGTCAGAAATAAAACAGGATATAAATAGTGCACAGAAACCTGACAGTATTGGATAGTTTTGATAATAATAATAATACAGTTCGGATGAAGGGATTTTGCTAAAGTCTAAGATATGTAAGAATATACAAAAAACACAGGATATTATGGGTTGGATAAAACTATCAGTACATGGAAGATTAAGTGTTTCGGAGAATGAATAGTTTGAATGGATGAAAACAGCTTATTTTGTGTAAACTATTGTTTTATACTTGCATCTTACGTAAAAGGTATGCTTTATAGCACTTATTTTTCAATAAATTCAGCTTGTAGAATAACATTTTATGATGTGTAGCATTCTTTCAAAATGAAAATAAATGAAATTATTGACAAGTTAAAATGTTGTAATATTTAATTAACAGGGAATTAATGGATTTTTTTTTATTGAGGTTATGAATCGAACAATTTTAGAAATCGTGACCAGTGGAGCTAATCCGTGTCGGGTAAAGTCAGGCATCTACTTCAGACAATAGAAGATAGTCATGCAACTTCGTGGATTGGTTGAAGTTGGACGTCAACACCGTTGGATGCTGGCTGAGCGGTTTGGAGGTAAAGTGTTCGAGCGGGATATCGAAGGTCCTAGGTTCGAGTCCAGCTTCTTCCAGGTTTTCCATGATGGTGTAGCTTTAATTGACTATAATTGAACTATTAAATTACTAAAATATCTACAAATCTCTAAAACTGACAAAAATTTCTTTGTACACTTAATGACTATAAATTCGTAGAAATAACCCAGGTTTCTTGTATGGAACCAGGTGTATGTAATGTCAGATTTTAACCACACGGATTAGAGCAAATGAATTTTCAGTTGAGAAATCCCTTACTCATAATCGACTAGAATTTTTCACTATTTTCCAAACAGAATATATAAAACCACAACAATAAAATGAAACCTTTTTAAGTACTTTCAGTTTCAATGTACTAAACTACTTTGAGAAAAAAAGCCAAAGATTAAACTTTATAAAATAATTATTGATCATCACAGAAGGACTAATGTTGTGTTATCCAACCTGTAACGTTAACCACTTTCTATGGATTAATTAAACAATAGAAAAAAAACTAAATAAATCAACATTGAGTTGAATATGTTTCACTTTTCAGGATTAGAATTGATCAACAAAGGCTTTTAATTTCTTGGCGCTAATGATTATTATTACTCATCTATATGACTTATCTGTAAACTTCAGGAGATTTAGAATAAACTAAATATTGATAAACTTGATTTATTTAAAGTAAACTCTTGAATAGCTCAATAGTAACATTTTGACTAATAGGCCAGAATCTTGCATCAGTTTGTTTGAAGGGATAGATTTGACCTTTTTTTATAATGGATACTAGTTGAAACAAAAAACGGAACTGTTTGATTTCATATTAACTTTCTTAAAAAAATCGCCTTTAGTAGTTGACATTAGTTAGCTTGTGAATTAAGGCAATATCGAGGCATAGGCACAGTATACACATATGCCGATAACAGACTGATCAATTGCAATCTTAAACCTTAATGGGAAGATACAAGCCAAATAATACTAAGTGAATTTAAATTCACCCCATTGCACAAGCAAGTGGCTACCAGGACTCAGTAGCTAAGTGGGTTACGAGATGGCGTTTAAAGCGAATAGTACTGGGTTCGAGTCCCAGAGTAAACATCCAGCTGACGAATTCCAAATAGGACGAAACGCACGTCCTGGATTCCACTGCTACCCACTGTCCATCATTGCTTCATCACCTAATAGTTATGAATTCATTTTCATGATAACTTTGACAATAAACAAATCTACAAACTACCTATACACAAAACATAGAATCTATTAAATTTGATTGATTGAAATACTTTTCATTTAAGGAGTTATGTCAATCAAGTAAATAACACTTATACTATGATAAAAATTAAATGAGATACATTCAAGTTATTGTAAGGTATCCTTTCTCTCTTTTTTTCCTTCTTTATCATAACATTTGAACTGCCATATGAATTTCATTTCTTGGAAATATTTTTGACATATTAAAAGGAAGGAATCTTTAATGGTTTCTGGTATAGGCAAATGTTTATAGTTCTTTATCAATAAATAATAATAATAATAAAAGTCAAACTGACAAAAAGAAGTGTTACTGATGAATTTGAAGACCGCGTTTTATGATATATTGACATTTATCAAGTAACTAATAGAAACCAGTCCATTTTGATCAGTACCATTCAATCATTTATTGTTTACAACCTTTAACTGGAATACTTCAGATTGTTGTTCTAAGCTTTAATAATAAAAAAACTTCTAATCATCATATACTATAATAGTTTAGTGGTATAACACTGTTCGCACAAATGAAATAATCCAATGAACCTATTACATGAAATTAATTGGTTTCATTTACAGTTACATATGGAAATTCAACTTTTGTTTACTGAAAATAAGCAAAATTAACTAACATCATAATGGACGAATGAAATACAGTATGACATGATGTTTTAAGTCTTAACAATAATGACTAAAAGATTATTGAATAGAACTAACCAAAGTAATAGTATTCTATTAGTCCTGCAAGTGCTATGGTGTTCAATGTGGAGAAGAGTGAAAAATGTTTTCCATAGACATTTCTGGATTAAACTTTTGTCTTTAATTCTGCTTCACAATTACTATCAATAAATAAGTTTGACAGCGTTAATAGAGAGAGCTGAATAACCAACTAGCTGCGTTCTTACTTCTCTTGAAGAGAACAGAATACTAAGCTTGAAGGAAGATATTATACGTCTTTATTAACTTCAGATGATGTTCTACAAGGTATTCTTTACCGTAACTTTTTCTGAATAATTTGCTACCACTGAGTATAATTTAATTCCTACCTCCTTATATGTGCTGGAAATGAATGAGTTTTTGGCGTTCATTGGATAATGGTGTATTTTTAATTGTCCTACACTTAATCATATTAAATGTCAAGTTGTTAACTTTAGCCTGAGACATAAAAAGCATTTTAACACCTTGTCATAATTACATTAAGTTTATACAATGGAGATTCTGTGGTAGGAACTATTCTCAATGTTATTTACCTTGGTGCAAGTTTTTCCTGTAATCTCTCTTAGTCTTCTCTTGTTCTGCTAATATCGAAAAAAGTTGTTCGTCTGACATTTTATCAAAAGATTACATGTTTCCATCACTTTCATGATTTGTAACTGATTATATACTACCTGTTATCTTTTACTGTTCTCCTTTATTCATTCCTAGTCTTTGCAGAAAAAAACGTTTTAATCATGTTTCAGAGAGTGCTAAAGGGAGTTAAAAGGATATGTGATGAATCTTTTAATGTATTGACGAATATAGTTGTGGATGGACATTCACAAACTATTAACATTCACTTCACATATTTCCGATTGTATAACTTACATTGTAAAGAGATGCAGTTACAATGGAATCTATATATTTACACAAAATTACAAAACTCTATTGTTCTGTATCTAACAAACCAATTTTATAGTGAACACGTTGTAAAAGCTGACTTAATCAAAAGCTTATATTCTTAAATTTGATACTAATTCACAAACTATGGATTCTTATTTTCTTATAAATATTTCACATAACTATATAATTTATAAATTTCATTCACATAAATATGTATGTAGATATATGTCTTGGTGATATAAGCATAGTAAGATAAACTTATAGAAATATTGTATCCAGAGCATTTCATAATACACCAAATATGGAATATTGAATAAAGTCATTAGTATGATTATTATTATTATTTATTAAACCAGATACCTGTTAGAAAACCCAAAAGTTTGGATTACGAACATGATAGCGAAAAAAATGTAGAAAATATCAGAAAATAAATTCATTGGTAATAAATATTCTTTTATAGATACACATTGATGTGGCCCATAGCCTAAGTTTATCCTTAACACATCCAAGAATGGTAGGCCGGCTTGAGAAAACGCAGCTAAGCTCCGATTCGTTTTCTCAAGCCGGCCTACCATTCTTGGATGTGTCAAGGATAAACTAACTATTTGGGTCACATCAATGTGTATCTATCAATTTACTTGCTAAAGGAGATACGGCTGCTGAAATATTAAATAGACGGATTTCCAAATCGTTAAATATTCTTTTATTAGATCCCAATGATCAGAAAAAAAAGTATTTCCAACGTTTCGTAACTTAATATAAGCTACTTCTTCAGAGTAAATAAATAATTGACACTAAATTAAAACAAGTTTAAATAGTACTCAATGCTCAGTTTATTTGAAACCATCAAGTGCAACCTTGATATTCATATCTATAAATCCATTGGTCTTAAGGAACTAAAATTCTGACTTAAAATCCTATAGGTTTTTTTCATGTTAGCTTTATATAGAGACAAAACTAAATACTACTAAGAAATCTGGGAAAGATAAATTTCCTGTTCACGAATAGCATTTAGTCAATGATTGTCGTGGTTGAAGTTAAACTGACTTAATTCAATTCTGTGAATTTATCTCAGACTCACGATACATTTTTATTTCTATGAACAATCAAACCAACTTAAACAAAGTGAACTAAGCAACTAATACAAAAAATCGTTAAAATTGCAATTGTCTTTTTCATCCATTAAAAATTGGTAGGAACAATATATTAACATCCTATCATTTGTTTTCAAATAAAATTGTCTTGTATACTTTATAAGCAAAGATGGATAGTGATTAGCAGTGGAATCCAGAACGCGCCATTCGTCCAACTTGGGACTCATTAGCTGGATGTACCTACATTCCAGAGTTGATGTTCATTCCGGAACTCTAACCCAGTACCGTCCACTCCAAACGCCATCACGTCATCCACCTAGCTACTGAGTTCTAATAGCGACTAACCTTTGAAATGTGGGTATATCCTGTTTACGAGTCCCAAATAGGACGAAACGAG